ACTCTTCACAGATCTATTGATGGCCTGTGTCCTGGCATCCGTACACAGTCATAGATAAAGAAGAAAGAGCACCAGTTGATGCTGATTTTTATTTCTTTATTATTTCAATGGATATCCCACCCTTCCCGCAAATGGGCTCAGGGCGGGTCACGACAATAAGGGAGAGTGGCCCAGCTTTGTTCCAGATCCATAAGGCAAATGTCACTCTGTCCTTCACTGATCCTTTTTCTGTAAAATAGGAATGAGGTGGGCATGCCTCGCAGGGTCATATTTCTTTTGGCTCCTCAGACTTCAAGTGTCTTCTCAGCCAATAGATCTCTAAACTTGCTGATTCCCCCCCCCAAAATGACAGCTGAGATTCTTTTCCTCCTAAAAATGTGACATGATGTAGCCTGACAAAGGTGTACTACGAAATGTTTCTTTTATTTATTTATTTGTTGAGCAATAGGTTTGCATCTTGGTTTCTCTTACGTCTGCATATTTGAGCAACAGTTACTTTCTCTTCTGGAACTGATTCGATAAGAGCACCGCAGAATTTTCTTACAGAATGCAACTACATCTAGTGTAACGAATTCTAGAGGTGCTTGACTCTGTGTCAGCTAGCTGTGTCAGGAGACTCTGTGTCAGCTAGCTGCCAATTCTGTGTAGTCTACCTTTCCCTGTTCCCGCTTGGTTGCAGCTCAGCAGCTTGCCGAAACATGCCAGGGAGACGGTGGGAGCTAGACGCCGTTATCAGTCTGGCCTTGTGAGGTAGGGAGGGCTTGGGATCCACATTTGGTGTGAATTTTTCTACTCTCAGGAAACCCTGCGACCCTCCCACTCATTTTGTAATCTCCCGCTGGGAGTCTTCCCGCCCCCGCGCACTCGAAGTTCATTTGTTTAGCTAGTTGCCTTGGCCAGCTATCTGTATTGGGATGTTCCTGCCTTCTAGTTATTCCTAACAATAATCCTGTGGACATGGTACCAGTCTTGTAGGAAACGTGTGTGAAGAGTTACTTGCTGTGGAACCTGACACTCTGGCTGCCATCTACGCAGTCGGTATCCTCTGCCTTCTGTTTATCACTGCCATGAAGGCAGAATCATTTGTGCTGGTAACAGAGCATCCATACAGGAGTGAGTACCCTCATCTCTCAGGTGCGATTTCCCCTGTATTCCCCCTACCATTCTGGACTAACCGTGGTTGGATTAAAGAAACTTGTGCTCCTGTATCCTTATAAGCTTTAATTTCTTCCTCAACAACAGTCACAGTTTCAATGTATTCTCTATTTAAATCCTCTTGCATTTCCATACTTGTAGCATGCAAGCTGCCTTGTCTGTTCTGGTCTCTTCTATTGACTCAAAGGTTACATCTGCATCTTCATCTGCCCTGTTAACTATTTTAACCTTTTTATGGCAGCTTGGGTCTTTTCTTTCTCTAATTTAGGGCAATTGGATCTTACATGACCCTCTTCTTGACAGTGATAACAGACTAGCGGTCCCCTTCTAGTTTGTGTGGGACTAGCCTGCCTCTCAGGGTTGGTTTCTGATGGCACTCCAAAGGGATCTGTCAAGGATGGGCAAGTGGGCGTCAACATGGCAAATGGGGTTCAATGTGGCCAAGTGAAAAGTGATGCACATTGGAGCCAAAAATCCTAAATATAAATACACATTGATGGGATCCGAACTAGCAGAGACTGACTAAGAGGAAGATCTTGGAGTCATAGTAGATTACTCAATGAAAATGTCGAGACGGTGTGCAACTGCAGTAAAAAAGACCAACGCTATGCTGGGGATTATTAGGAAAGGAATTGAAAACAAATCAGCCAGATTCATCATGCCCCTGAATCAATGGTGCAGCCTCATTTGGTGTACTGTGTACAGTTCTGGTCACCACACCTCAAGAAGGATATTATAGCATTGGAAAACAGGCAGAAAAGGGCAACTAGAAAAGGGTTGGAGCACTTTCCCTATGAAGACAGGTTAAAACACTTGGGGCTTTTTAGCCTGGAGAAATGACGGCTGAGGGGTGACATGATCGAGGTTTATAAGATTATGCATGGGATAGAGCAGGTTGAGAAAGAGGTACTTTTCTCCCTTTCTCACAATACAAGAACTCGTGGGCACTCCATGAAATTGCTGAGCAGTCGAGTTAGAACAGATAAAAGGAAGTACTTCTTCACCCAAAGAGTGATTAACACATGGAATTCACTGCCACAGGAAGTGGTGGCGGCTACAAGCATGGACAGCTTCAAGAGGGAATTAGATGAGCATATGGAGCAGAGGTCCATCAGTGGCTATTAGCCACAAGGTATAGATAGGAACTCTCAGTCTGGGGCAAGTGATGCACTGTATTCTTGGTGCCTGGGGGGGGGCAACAGTGGGAGGGCTTCTAGTGTCCTGGCCCCACTGCTGGACCTCCTGATGGCACCTGGTATTTTTGGCCACTGTGTGACAGAGTGTTGGACTGGATGGACCCATTGGCCTGATCCAACATTGGTTTCGCTTACGTTCTTATGTGTAATACATTTTGGCTTGAACCAGACTTCTTTTTTGGAAAGGTTCCAATATTTCGGCAATATGGTCCTGTTGTGTGTGTGTGTGTGGGGGGGTTAGCAGTACTGGACCTGTTCTCTTGTTGACCATCTAGAACTGAGAAACTCTGAGATCTCAAAGTTCAAAATATCATCTAAATAGTAAAACCATTATTTTTTAATATTCCATCCCTAAATACCCTTTTTAAATGCAATATGTTATGTACTTGGTTTAATAAAACAAGTGCCATCTTGTTAGATATTATGTCCTTTCCTTCCTCCTTGTCTTATTCATTTTCTTTCAGTGTGCTGTTCGTGAAGATACTTTGTAGAAAGTGCTGCTTCTCTTTTAAACTTTGCCGAGTATTTTTGTGCTCTTTCGTCTACGTGTGGCTGCTTGTCGCACTTGGCAAATGCATTGGTGCCATGTGGTGGGTAGGCAGGTGTGATTTCACAGCCTTTCAGCTTGTTGATTTGCTGCAGAGAACAGCAGAACTGGAAAGATTTTCTCTTAAAAATTAAAAGTGAGTGTGATTCAGTTCCGCTCTGGATGAAGGGTGGTTCTATCACTTCTATATCTGAATAATTGGTTCTAGGGGTGTGCAAAAAAAAAAAAATCGTCCCGATTTGGATTTGGCAGAATTGGGCAGAATCAATTTTGGTGGCAGAAAGACTCCTGCATGTCAATTTCGGCAGTACAAGCCCATTGGGGAGTCTTTCCGCCAGCCGAATGTCAATTTCGGCTCCATTATATCCTATGGGCCATTGAAGTCAATGGCAAAAACATAGGGTATATTCTAGGGGCTGGAGGAGAGGGGGTTTGAGGGTGAGGCTCCATAATCACAGGGTAGCTGCTGGAGCCTCTCCCCAAGACACCTGCCATGTTTCAGGAACATTGAACAAGGGGGTCCAATTCTACGGGCCCCCAAAGAGGTTGTCCCATCCCCTCCATGAACAATGGAGGGGATAGGGGCAACCTGTGTGAGCGTATGCTGTGAATGAGTATAGGAAGGGAGGGGCCAGTAGCCCCCAGAATATACCCTATGTTTTTGCTATTGACTTCAATGGCCCATAGGATATAATGGGACCGAATTTCCGCCGAATTTTGCAGCAACCCGAAAGGGGCCCGGATGGGCCATTTTCAGGGGTGCATTCAATTCAGACGAACCGAATGCACATCCCTAATTGGTTCCATGGAATTCCGGGTGATCAGCACAAATGGAAAGTGTAGTTCATATAGCTAACGTAAGAGTGAAGAAAGTGATTTGTGTCCTGACCTGGATAGCCCAGGCAAGCCTGCTCATGAGATCTAGGAAGCTAAGCAGGGCCAACCTTGGCAAGAACTCGGAAGGGAGACCTCCAAGGAATACCAGGGCTGGGACGCAGAGGCAGGAAATAGCAAGCCACCTCTCTGAAATGTCAAAGCCCTCCTAGGGGTCGCCAGAAGTCAACCATGAGCAGTCGACCACACACACACACATGCACACACACATACACACAGACAGAATACTCACCAAAAAAAGTTATTTGTAATTCATGTGCAGTGTTTAGATGATGGCAGCACAGATGGCAATATGGTGATTTCATCTAGTCAGTAAGCTGGCATGCCCAGTTGATGACAAGCGTTCAGCAATGTGTTTTCTTTCTTACGCGTTAACTTTTGGGTAGGCAGCCCTTTGGATCTTCCTTCTGAATGGGCAGATCACAGCTGGACCTCTCACATGCATGCACAAGAGCCTTCAGAGGAAGGGAAAAGAGAAGATAGCACAGCTTAGTTTGAAAATCTGTCAGGCCCTAACAAAATGAGCCTATGCAAGAATGCCTTTCCCTCCCTGTTGAGATAGGAACAGTAAAGGAAAGTTTTTTTTCTTCGTCAGAAGAACGTAAGAACATAAGAGAAGCCAATGTTGGATCAGGCCAATGGCCCATCCAGTCCAACATTCTTGTCACATTCTTCTGGTGAGCAGAACTGTACACAGTACTCCAAATGAGGTTGCACCATTGATTTATACAGAAGGTGTAACATTACTTTTCTTCATAGATATTATATTGCACTGGGCACCTTTTAACATATTTTAGGTATTTAAGCCCCACTTTCTCCCCCAGTGGGCACCTGAGATAGAGTGATTGGCCCAAGGTCACCCAGCAAGCGCTTTTTGAACCTGGGACTCCTAGGTCCTAGTCTGACAGTAACCTCTATACTGTGCTTGGCTACTGAAGGGCGTTTTTCTCAATTGTGGGTATCCTACGGCATGTCAATACATTTCAGCTTGGACTCCTCCACCTGTAAAATGGTGATGTTTGTAGTGGGGTCTACTTTGCATGATTCCTTTGAGCAGGACACGACGCCGTGCGCTTAACTGTATGAAATGCTTATAGCAATGATTAAGAATAACAGTTTTGCTGTTGTCACTGTTATTTCCTCCTAGGAACCAAGTTGTTTGGGAAAGGTGACCGAAAGCGAAACATTGGAAAATACTGGGAAGAGCAAATCTAGTTTCCACAAGCTCAAATCTGAATTAAATGGCTGATAAACAGATCAGGTAACAGCTGTTCTTCGCTCACGCTCAACTGTCCCTTCCAGTTCTTGTTTGTTTTCTCAATTCATCATGTTCCCCCACGCACCCCATCCTTTCTCAAAGACCCTTCTATTCCTTTCTTCCTTCTTGGCCCTTGGTTTTCAAAGGATGTCACCTAATGTCAAGAGCCAGTTTGGTGTAGTGGTTAAGTGCGCGGACTCTAATCTGGGAGAACCGGGTTTGATTCCCCACTCTTCCACTTGCACCTGGCTGGAGGACCTTGGGCAAGCCGTAGTTCTGATAAGAGCTGTCCTTGAAAAAAGAGCAGTTTCCGTCAAGAGCTCTCTCAGCCCCACCTACCTCACAGGGTGTCTGTTGTGGGGAGGGGAAGGGAAAGAAGTTTGTAAGCCGCTCTGAGACTCCTTTGGGTAGTGAAGGGCGGGGTATAGATCCAATCTCTTCTTCTTCTTCTTCTCCTCCACTTGCACCTGGCTGGATGACTTTGACTTTGGGCAAGCCGTAGTTCTGATAAGAGCTGTCCTTGAAAAAAGAGCAGTTTCCGTCAAGAGCTCTCTCAGCCCCGCCTACCTCATAAGTTGTCTGTTGTGAGGAGGGGAAGGGGAAGGAGTTTGTAAGCCACTCTTGAGACTCCTTTGGGTAGTGAAGGGCGGGGGATAGATCCAATCTCTTCTTCTTCTTCTCCTCCACTTGCACCTGGCTGGATGACCTTGGGCAAGCCGTAGTTCTGATAAGAGCTGTCCTTGAAGATGGCTTCTCTCTTGACACACGCTGGCTCACAACCTCTGACAAAGCCTGCCACAAATCAATTGTGTTTCCTCACCAGGGCTTATAACAGCTCAAAGAGGCCATTTTTAAAATTCAGGTAGCAGCATGGGAAAGCACTTAACCCTTCCTTCCCCAGTGCTGTAGCCTTGACTATATCACATACCCCTCCCCCCAGTGACTACCATTTGTTGCTATATTACACACTGGGAGACCTGATCACAAATCCCCAACGTTGCATGCAATTTGGCCTTCAGTTAGCATTCTGTTCATTTACAGTTGACATATAAGAAATGCACTTTGTGATGTTAGAGGAAGTGAACTGTGATGGCTTGCGAAATATAATGTTGATCTCATCACAAAGAGTTTGGAACAGAATCCACTGAGTGTCCTTGAGCAGTCTGTTTCACACACAGTGCAATGTAGTGGCGGTACGTCACGCTTGGGTGCACTGTCTGTGCATGGCTCTGATTATTTGACTTTACTGGTGGCTTCCTGTGAACCGTTTGTAGGTACACAGCTGGACACCACGAAAGCTAAAGCATAGTTTCTGAGAAGGTGAGGAGGTTTCTATTTGCTGTTGTCCTTTGGTAAATGGCCTTCTGATTCTTCAGCTCTTAAGTCCAAAGCCACCTCCTTCCTCACAAGGGACTTTCTATAGTCATTGTCACAGTGAAAAGCTCCAGCTATTGAGACAAGCTGAAGAGGCGTTTTAAATGTTTTGTTTTCATTTGACATGTGGGCAAGTGTCTGGATTTGTGTTTTGAATAGCTAGACAGCTGGACTTAGCTGATAATACTAACAGCACTAGGGTTGCCAAGTGAATTTTACTCACCGGCGGGGGAGCCTCGCAGCACTCCGGCAGCTATCCCTCGTCGTGCGCGCGCACGCGCGCCACCAGCACGTCACCAGAAGTGATGCATGACGTCAATCATGTTGAGGGCGTGGCCCCGATCGTCGGAGGGAAAACCATAGAGGAAAGCATTGGGGGGGCGGAGTTCCCCCCGGGGCCCGATTCTGCGGTGGCGGAAATTGGGCCTCCAAAGCGGGGGTTGGCAGCCCTAAACAGCCCCACTTGGCAGCCCTAAACAGCACACACGCACTTGCTCTCATGGCATTATTTGCACTAATGATTTTTGTGTCTGACTTTGTGTGATTTGAGCTGCAGAATGAGATTCCCATTACAGGCTGTAATCCAATGCGGTCCTAATCCACTGGATTTCCAAGTTGGCCAAAGATTGATTTATTTATTGTTTATTTTATTTAAAACATTTTTATGCCTCCTTTCTACTTAGGGAAACCCCCACCTGAGAGGCCCGTTCTCCACCAGCGTGGATTGGGCCGGCGGGGGGGACCCCACCCCCAAAGTGCACGACGGTGCCCAGCGTGAACACGTCACCTGGAGGTGACGTAATCGCGTTGGGCACGTTGTGGGGGGACACGCTATCATCCGAGGGAAAACCATCGGTAGGACTTGGCAACCCTATTTCGACTCAATCCGTGTCCCCAAAGAACATTTAAACAATTACAACATAAGAACATTTAAACCATTAAAAAACAGTTAAAGGTAGAATTCAATTAAAAACACATAAACAGCTCTATAAAGAGGGCAAACTACTGTTATTTGCGGGGGGGGGGGGAGATGCCAGACAAAGCTAGCAGAAGACACCAACAGAGGGAGACAGATGAATCTTCCTGGGGAGAGAGTGGCAAAGTTTTGGTTCCACAATGGAGAAAGCCCTTTTTCAGGTTGCCACCTAGCCTCAGAAGGCAGGGGCAACCGAAACAGGGCCTCTGAGGCTGACCAGAGTGAGCGGGTAGGTTCCTATGGGAAAAGGCGGTCCTTAAGGTATACTGGTATACTTGGGCTGCGGTCACACGGAGCATTAGCCACGCTACAGAGACGGAAGATAGGCGGATTTTCCGGTGCACCCGAGGCTTCCCGCCGAAGATGCGGGGTAAAAAACTAGTACCTCTGAGGTACTAGTTTCCGGAAACCGCGGGGCAAGGGCAAACGTCTGATTGCGTTTCTGATGGCATCCATGTCCCCTCGCAAAAAGTTCCCCCCCCCAAGTCTCCATGGGATGCGCACAAGCACCCAACGGAGCATGCGCACACTTCAGTTTAAAAAACAACAACACAACCCCGTTTTCCGCGCCGCCCCGCTTCTTTGCCTGTGGTGTGATCGGCACCTCCCCCCTAACCACGGGACCTCAACCGGACATCTGATCGCGCAGCCGCGTGTTATTTTGCTCCGGGGCAAACAGCCACGCTCCGCATTTTCCAGCCCGTGTGACCGGAGCCACAATATAGTTTGAGACCTGCAAAGCTGGAAAGATATTAGATAGTTGTTGTTTTATAATGACAAGACACTTGGTGTACCAGCTTTGCACTCCAATGTCTGCCTCTCATTTCTCTTTCACTTCTCAGACCGTCTTTGCAGTCCCGAGTGCCCAGCTCCTGTTTCCTCTAAAAACCTTCTGTATGCCAACTGGCAGAATCTTCCCTCTGCTTACCCTTCCTGCCCCGCCCCCTTCGCTGTCTGTTCTGGTGGAGGCTTCGCACTGAGCACCATATTGGCTCTTTTGGCTGCCTTTTCCAAGACGCCGTTCCAGAGCAATCCCCCCCCCCTTCCTCTCCCTCTTCAGTAAGCCTTTCTAAGCCATCTTTGTAGCATGAAATCAGCAATGGCCAAGTATGTTCCACAAGGCTGTTTCTGTAGAGTCTGTGGGTTTTCTTAGTATTCTATGAATGTGATTTTTCATGAATAATTATCCTTTAAGTTCCAGGGGATTCTGTCGTATTTTAACACTCCAGTCCTCTCCGTATGGCTTGCTTGAATAATTATTGCTGAACCCTTGCAGGACTGATTTCTAAGTAGACTCATGTAAGGACTGGGCTGCATACTGCTGTTTAGGTTTATGAAAATGACTGTGAGAACTGGGCCTTAGTTTTCATTTGCAGGACGCGAGACTTGGAAGGGTTACCCTTGCAAATTTTTGAAAAATATTGTGAAGGGGAATGACCTGGCATACTGAGAATAACAGAAGCTCTTGGTTCAGCCAGGGCCTTTGGGTTTGGCTAACAAATTCCAGCTGGACAGCTGTGTTAGGCCCAATTTAAATGTGAAGCATAGAACCAGGGGTCATTTCCTGCAGGAGTGCACAGGAACGGAGCTCCGGCAGTAAAGAGCCCAGGGGGCGGGCACATGCAACAAGCCCCACCCCCTGCTCCCAGGAGCCCTCAGTCAGAGCAAGAAGCAGCCAGGTAAGTTGCACAGCTCCCCCAGCCCCCTGGTCCAAAACAGTCCAGTGGCACCTTTAAGACCAAGTTTTATTCAGGTACACGCTCTCTCTCCTCTGCGAGGACAGATCTGCACGTCCCTTCCCCCCCCCAGTAGCTAGCAATCCAAAACAGTCCAGTGGAGCGGTGGGTGCTGCCTTCTGACACACTTCCAGTGATGTCATGGGGTTTGACATATGCAAATAAGTCATGCTAATGAGTTATGTTAATTAGCTCCTGCACCTCTTTTTCTACGAAATGACCCCTGCATAGAACTTCTTTTGTGTGATGTTGCTCAGGGTCAGGGTCTCATTTGGCTCTACAACCCTTGCAAAAGCAGGCCAGGACAATATCTGTGAGGGCCATGAATCTCTGGTACGTAACTGAAACACACATCACTGGCTTTGCTCAGATTGTCGCATTGGGGAGCTCTTTTGCATTGCCAAATTCACATGAAAGTCAGGCCTACGTTTGGTGCAGCAGCAACCTGGCTTTTTTTCTGTCAGAACGGAGTTCTGGAACCTTTTCAACAAAATTCTTTTTTGAAAACGTTTAAAAGTCCATGAGTTTTCAGTATACAGATTGAAAACTTCATTTCCCTCTTGAGAGTTCTGGCACCTCTTTTTCAAAAAAACAAACAAACAAAACAAACAATGCACTTTGAAGACTCCTGGATTTATTGTGGCCAAAGTGTTTGCAGACTAGAGCCGGCTTTGTCTCTTCATGCATCTGTTAGAACTGGCTCTAATCAATGAAAGTTTGGTCCCGGTCACACGGAGGGTTTTGGCCCGGGAGAGGGATGGATCGGGGCCGCAGCAAACGGGTGCGATCTCACCGCAACATCTGGGAAGCGGCGCGCACCCGTCCCCGATCCGTCCCTAACCCCGGAAATCCCGCAGCAAAAAAGAACCACCGACAGAGATGGTCTTACCTGAACGGCGCGGCAAGCGTGGCCGTGGGATTGCCGGCGCGTCCTTCTGCCGGCGCATCCCTGGCTCCTGGCCGAACTGCATCTGATCGTGCCGGGGAGCAACGGCGCCACGGCTCAGGGGATCCGTGTGATCCCGCTGTGGCGTGTCTATTTTGGTGCGGCTCCCAAAAGCCGCACTTTGGCCGCACATTTCCCCCCGTGTGGCAGGGGCCTTTATGCTGTAATTCATCTGTTTGTCTTTAAGGTGCCACGGGGCTCTTTCAGGCCGACTGCTCTGTTGTCTAGCTGTGAGTGGTCTTTTCCCTTTGATATCCTGTTGACACTCTGCTTCTTTGTTTTCTTTTCCTCACAGTTTACCTGCCAAGCTAATCAATGGAGGGATAGCCGGGCTCATTGGAGTTACCTGTGTATTTCCTATTGACCTGGCAAAAACTCGCCTACAGAACCAGCAGAATGGCCAGAGGATGTACACCAGCATGTAAGCGTTCTCCTGTTGTTAAAAAACCCAAAAATCCTTTACTAAAGCGACTGTTTTATTATTGGTTACCATTTTTCATATAATTTTTCATATAATATAATTTTTCATATAAAGCTCTGCAGCTTCATCTTGCTTGTCCTCTCAACAGCCATGTGCGGAAAGTCACTCTTAGCTAGGGTTGCGAAGTTACTTACAGGTAATAGCGGGGGAGACTCGGTTCCTCTCTGGGAGATTCGCGCGCGGGCGCCGCGATGACATCACCCAGAAGTGACGTTATCATGTTGGGCACGTCGCTGGCTGACGCTCTAGTAATCAGCCTGGAAACTCTATGGTACCATAGAGTTTTCAGGCTGATTGCTAAAGTGTCAGCCGGCGACGTGCCCAGCGCGATAATGTCACCTCCGGGTGACATCATCGCACCGGGCATGTCGGCCCGAACCGGGCACCTTGGGGGCAGGGTTCCCCCCGCCGGCCTCTTCCGGATCGGTGGATTGTGGACCCTTTTAGCGGGGGAACCTCCGCCCTCCCGGGGGACTGAGGAAAGAGCTGAAGATTATTTCCTGCCTCATGCTTGCCTTTTTCTTCCCACAGATCCAAATATTGCAAGATCTTTAATTAAACAAAGGGCATTGAACGCCAGCTAGATCTAATAAAAAACCCACATTTTATGATTTCTGAGAAACACAGATATACTATAAATATGGCCTAATATCTAAAAAATTTAGAATATCCCCCCTCATAGGAGGGCTTTTACCCTTGCTAGATGCGATGTGTTGCCATCTAAGGTAGCAGAAGGGAGATATCAGACGATTCCATACGCTGAAAGGATATGTGCCTGTTCCCTCGGTGAGGTGGAAACATTGGAATGTATTTTTATTCATTGTCCCTTTTATAAAGAAGTCCAAGAAGGGGTGGTGAATTATCTGTTTTGCGTGCCTACCGCCTCGGTACCTAAGGCTGCTGCTGCTGTTATGCCAATAAAGGGTTGTTGTGTTGTGTTGTATAAGGAAGTCAGGGACAAGACAACCCTCCCTATTCTGGAACAGTCCAGGCTTATGTCGGATAAGATAGCCTTGAAGAAATGACTGCTTGATGAAATACCAGCAGTCACTAGAGCGACAGCTAGGTTCTGTGCCCAGAAGAATAGTTTAAACAGGAGCTTTGCTTTCTGATCTTGAGGAGCCAATATATTAATGACCAGGGGTCATTTCCTGCAGGAGCGCACAGGAGCTGAGCTCCGGCAGTAAAGAGCCCAGGGGGCAGGCACATGCAACAAGCCCCGCCCCCTGCTCCCAGCAGCCCCGGGCCACAAGGAGCAACAAGCAGCCAGGTAAACTGCAGAGCCCTCCCCAGATAGCAATCCAAAGGAGTCCAGTGGCACCTTTAAGACCAAGGTTTATTCAGGTACAAGCTCTCCCTCCTCTGTGAGGGCAGATCTATGCACCACCCCCATAGCTAGCAACCCAAAACAGTCCAGTGGAGCCTGAGTGGTGGGTGTTCCCTTCTGACACACATCCTGTGATGTCAGGGATGTGGCATATGCAAATAAATTATGCTAATGAGTTATGCTAATGAGCTCCTGCACCTCTTTTTCTACAAAATGACCCCGTTAATGACCATATGTATACAATTTTATTAATACATATTATTGTTGGACTAGTTCAATTATAAACTGGATGTACATTTTAATAGTACAATTATGGCAAATTCGTATTGTACCCTATATTTCTCCTCTGTTGTGTCCTATTGTATTGTATCCTATTTTTTATCTGGTCTGTGACTGTTCTAACAATAAAACAAACAAGCAAGCAGTGTGGGATGGGGTTGATTGATTGAACTGTGGAACAGGCATAGTCCCTCTGAACCTTCTGTTACCTTCGAAGCAGCTGCTTAGGGCTGCTATTTAGTTTATTTGTGGGGGAAACCCAAGGAAACCCTAATCTTCGGTCTCTTGCTTCATGTCCGAGGGCCAGTGTAGTTGTGACAGGGTCCCTGTGTCTGCCACAGGAAACGCACTGCCATTTTAAAGTGGTTTAAAAATGTTGCCGTGACCCTGGAGTGTGGTGGACTACACCTTTTCAAGTGCCAAAAATAGCCAAAAGGGGTCAGGGGTGCAGCCATTTCGGCACTTGAAGATGTGCGGGGGGGGGGGAGTGTCTTAGCCACTGCGCTACAGGCATAATCAGGATTGGACCCCCACAGTATTTTTAAATCACTTTAAAATGGCAGCTGCAAGGACACCATCGCATCTAGTTTGGCCCTAACTTGGCACTGACTTGGACTGGGGTGAATGTCCACTGAAGTATGAAATTTATTATGTGACTTTGGGATAGTCATTATCTCTCACTAATCAGCCTCACACAGTTGCGATGGAGGTAAAAGGAGAAGGGATGGAAAAAGATGAAAGGTGGGGTCAAAAAGTAATCATAATATTGGTTTGTGGATCTTCCAGTACTGGGAGGTACTCAACTCAGGCCCGGCCCCCCAACTTCCTACCAACCCTCCCCAACTTCCCCACCTGTCAGCACTCCCACAGGTTCCATCCTGGGCTGGCAGCCAAATCAGGCAGACTCAATTTCGGCCTGCAGAAAGACCGAAATTTCGTGTGTCGATTTCATGTGTCAATTTCAGCAGTGCCAGCCCATTGGGGAGTCTTTCCGCCAGCCCAATGTCAATTTCGGCCCCATTATATCCTATGGGCCATTGAAGTCAATGGCAAAAACATAGGGTATATTCTAGGGGGCTGGAGGGGAGGTGGTTGGAGGGAGAGGCTCCAAACTCGCAGGGTCGCTGCTGGAGCCTCTCCCCAAGATACCCATTAAGTTTCAAAAACATTGGACCAGGGGGTCCAATTCTACGGGCCCCCAGACAGGTTACCCCCATTCCCTCCATTGGTGGTGCATGTTGCCTTCACTGCAGCATTCTTCCCTATCTCCTTCAAAAACTCTGTTCAACCTGAAGAGTTGTCCTGGCATCAGAGACAGAAGTGTCCTTAAATCCCCAAGGGATGGTGTTTCAGTCGTTCTTACTGCTCTGCTCTCGTCCCTTCTCCTCCATCCATCCATATTTTCAATTCTTATTTCTGTCTCTTGATTGTAGGTCCGACTGCCTCATTAAGACCATCCGTTCCGAAGGTTATTTTGGCATGTACAGGGGTAAGTGTTGGGCAGCACTCCGGTGAATTTGTCTGTTGCAGTAGACAGCTTTATTGGAGGAGGAAGAAAGAGTTGTGAGATTTTGATCAACTGTTCTGGTATAGAGCTCTTGTGCGTTAAGCAGAGGACACCCAGATTCTACAGTGGAAACTTTTCTCAGCATAGAGATGGGGAGAGCTTTATCGGTTGAATTTCTACTTGTTAAGAGATTCAGCTGTCCTACCTGGGGGAAAAAAAGGTTAGGAATCCTATCTTGGGACTGCAGATTTGAGCTAAAGAGCAATGCACTCATTATTCTTCATGAAGTTCAGTGAAAGTACATGTAAGTTTTTCCAAATTGTCATGAGCTACCTAAATATATTACCAAGCGCTAAATTGTCACAGTTCTTTTTCCTTTTTTCATTGATCTCTTTGGGAGTGAACAGGATCTTTTCAAGGAGAGGAGCACAGCTTGGAGTTGAATTATAAGCTCTGGGATTCTGGTGGGTCAGTTCGAAAGCAAGAAATTGCAGGTAGATAAATAGGTACCACTTCAGTGGGAAGGAAGCAGCATTCCATGAGCCTTGGTGTTTAGTCATGCCGGCCACATGACCACGGAGACGTCTTCGGACAGTGCTGGCTCTTCGGCTTTGAAACAGAGATGAGCACCGCAACCCTAGAGTCGGATTCGACTGGCTTTCGAGCAAGGGAACCTTTACCTTTACTTTTTACCTAAAGCATTATGGTAATTAAGGGTCTGGAGGAATAGGAGTGGGTTTTACGATGGGAGTGTTGTGGTGACGCGAACATGGCAATGTGGAGGAGACTGTAGCTGACCTTTGATAAGAAGATAACTGGGATATGGATTTTATTATGGTGCTTAGAACTAATTAGTACTTTGACTCTTTATACAATTTCTGAGTAGAATGAGAAGTGGGGAGGGAGACCTAGATTTTAAAAATTCAGCATGGGAATGTTCTATTCAGCAGCCATATTTGTAGTACTTTGCAGTTTTCTATGTGCCCATATTTCCTTGCAAGCAACACAAAGGTTTCTGCCTACCTAGCAGTTCGAAAGCAAGAAATTGCAAGTAGATCAATAGGTACCACTTCGGTGGGAAGGTAACAGCGTTCCGTGCACCTTGGTATTTAGTCATGCCGGCCACATGACCACGGAAACGTCTTCGGACAGCGCTGGCTCTTCGGCTTTGAAACGGAGATGAGCACCACAACCCTAGAGTCGGATTTGACTGTCTTTCGAGCAAGGGAACCTTTACCTTTACCTATCACAAAAGTAATGTGTGATTTTATAGTGGCAGTGACATCCCCTGGTTAATTCTTGGTGCTAGGATCGCTGCTTTTTTTTCTTTGCAGGGCTCCCATGTCTTTAAACAGCTGCTGAAGAAGCGGAAATCCATTCGCCATCACTGTTATCTACATGCTAGAAAAAGCTTTCCATTTGCCACGTTTGTGCTTGTGATGCAGCTGTTAAAGACATCAGAGTCTTGCCAGGAATAAAGTTGGTGACCCCAGTAAAGTTGGTGACCCCAGCATGTTTGAAATTAGCTAACTTCTTCGTAGACTTGAGTTTTACCATGTGTGGTCAAAGACCAAAGACACATATTTTGTTTTCAAACAATTGTAAACCTTGAAAATATTCATATGATTAAAATGGTGTAGTTCTCACATCTGTTGTTAACTGTTTTATTATCTGTATGGGAATTTGCTGCTATCCACGCTTCTTACTCGGTGTCGTGGTTCAGTGCGCGGACTCTAATCTGGGAGAACCGGCCTTGATTCCCCACTCCTTCACTTGCACCTGGCTGGATGGCCTTGGGCAAGCCGTAGTTCTGATAAGAGCTGTCCTTGAAAAAAAGCAGGTTCTGTCAGAGCTCTCTCACCCCCACCTACCTCACAGGGTGTCTGTTGTGGGGAGGGGAAGGAATGGGAGTTTGTAAGCCGCTCTGAGACTCCTCTGAGTAGTGAAGGGCAGGCCCCTCTCTCAGCCCCACCTACCTCACAGGCAATGTTCCCTCTAAGCTGTGGAATCTTGTGAGCAAAAATTCTACTTTTGTGAGCTACTGGCATTAAATTTGTGAGTGAGCGATTTGGCTACTGCCTAAATTAGTTTGCTCTGGAGCCCTCCTTCCTGAGCTGAGACAAAAATGTGTGCGCTGGAGGCTAAAAAACTGTGAGCTAGCTCACACTAACTCAGCTTAGAGGGAACACTGGTCACAGGGTGTCTGTTGTGGGGAGGGGAAGGGGAAGGAGTTTGTAAGCCGCTCTGAGACACCTTTGGGTAGTAAAGGGCGGGGGATAAATCCAATCTCTTCTTCTTCTCCTCCACTTGCCCCTGGCTGGATGACCTTGGGCAAGCCGTAGTTCTGATAAGAGCTGTTCTTGAAAAAGAGGAAGTTCTGCCAGAGCTCTCTCAGCCCCACCTACCTCACAGGGTGTCTGTTGTGGGGAGGGGAAGGAATGGGAGTTTGTAAGCTGCTCTGAGACTCCTCTGAGTAGTGAAGGGCAGGGTATAAATCCAATCTCCTCCTCCTCCTCCTCCTCCTCCTCCTCTTCTTCTTCTTCTTCTTCTTCTTCTTCTTCCTCCTCTTCCTCCTCTTCCTCCTCCTCCTCCTCCTCCTCCT